TGTGAGTCCCATACCCAGACACCTTCATGGGGCTTTGCACAGTATGCTTTTCCCCTCCCTCTATGCAACATGACCTACCTCAAACTTTATTGACTCACTTCCCTAATGTGGGGCATTTATAACGTGGAGTGAGAGTGTGGTATTTTTATGGGTCATTAAAAAAAAAAAAAAAAGGTGTTGACTTTTTACATCAGCGTGGTGCAGTTTTTCTTTTCAGTCTTGGCATTTGTGAAGCATTGCCTGCTGATGATCAGAGACTAGGCAAAGGTAGAGGGGGTTACATAAGAAGTACTTACAAGGTGCTAATTATTCTTCAGAGTTCAATGCTTTTTCTCAAGTAGACAGGAAACGATAATCTAACGGCACATGTCGCAACACTTGAATTTGTATCTTAATAGGTGTAAGTAACGGGATGTGGCATCGTTTTTTTTTTGTTTTTTTTTGGTGAGCATATTTTGGTAAAGCCTAATTTGTATAAATTGAATTCGTTGCAAAAGACTGCAAAATGCCAGCTGTCAGGTTCATTATTTCCCCATCTTGTCTGTACTGCAACAGGCTCAGGCTTTAAGCATTCATGATTTACACCACAACAGTATCACTGTGATGTTTCCGGACTCTCATCTTACCTGCCATTTGTTGTTTCTTCTCAGTTGAAGAAGCTTCTGTCATAATGTTATAATAAGCCGCAGGTCACCCTGGCTGCAAGCGTTGTGGTAAAATTCAGAATGAAAAGAGCGTTTCACAAAAATCTCATCATATCTAGTTAAATTTAAAGATGGATTTATAGAAAGAATTTATAGTTGGTTAATGAAACAATAAATGTGTGCCAAATACACACAAGAATTACTGCACTGAACTACTTGGCAAGCATTTGGTTGTCAGCTATGACCACCAGTAGCTGACTTGGAAGGGAACTACCTAAATCCTCTGCTGCATACCCTCTGCCAGACATCTGGACGCTGTCTGTTTTACGACCTGCAACTTGAGCTTAGGGTCTGTCTGAATCCAGTGTTCCAAAGTATGATTTGTATTATGAAGGTGCCTCCTAAAGAAAAAAAAAAATCTAGCCAAAGGACACATTCCACTTAATCACGGGCTTTTTTGTTGTCATGTTGGATTGTGTTTTCTAGCCAAAGCTAACAGATTCCCTCTATGGTAAAATAAGAATACGTTATCTTACAGAAATCTAGAGTTGGCTGTTGAAAGTTTAATTCAGATGTTTTGCAGATTGAATTCGATGTTGATACTTTACTTAACTAGGCAGGCATAATCTTTAAATCCCAGGCTGATGTAAAGCTGATGGGTGGAAATGTATTTAATAGTTGCAGCTACATCTAAAAACTGACATTTTTATTTGCCTACTGCTTAGAACCAGGGGGTCAAAGCATCTTGCGTAGCTTGTGGCTTTGGCTTAAGACATGACCTTGAACTGGTCAGCCAGTCCGGACCTTTCCTTTTAATCTTGTTTTTAGCTTCAAATCACCTCTTTTTACTGCTCTCTAAAACTCAAGTCTCCCAGACATTTCTGCAGTCTGTCTGGCTGCTTTTTTTTTTTAAAAGCACTTCTGATTTCTCCTACCTAACTTGTCACTCTCACAGCACTCAGCTGCTTTTAGAGAATCTTTTATCTGCCGTGACAGTCTTCAGTCTGTCAAAGCATTGGTCTTAGCTACGGCTCACTGTACTTGCCTGCATAAACTTAACGGATTTTACAGGTGCTTTTGGAGCTCTCATCATTCCAAAGAGTAAAAGATGATATTTTGAATTTTCTTAGCAGCTCTGGGACAAACTTATCAATGCTGGACTCTTTGATGTTTTATTTAACTTGCATGTGTCATGCGTGTCCATAGTTAATGACCACATGTTTTAAAATGTGTTTCAGCGGGGCTCATAATCATTAACTAGCAAGTGTTAACAGAGCGTGGCTAATGGACAAGTTTCTCTGAAAGTGTGGCCTTGTGAAGCCAATCGGACTTAGTGGCAGGCACAGCAAAATGTTGTCTAGTTGCTGTACATCTCATTTCCCCTGAATGTTTTAAATGTGGAAATGTGTAACCTGCCATTCATTTTCTAAGCATTACTCAGAGTCCTGTGTAATTTTTCCCAGACTGAAAATCAGCACAAAAAGCAGCTGTTTTGATAATGGATAAGTTATGGGAAGCATTTTCTTTTCCTTTCTGTGCTTCCCGAGTTTGAAATTCCCCACATCACATTGACCAGGTGCAGATAGTCCTAAAAGGAGTTGTGCAGTGGGGCTAAAGAAAGGTCATAAAGCAAGGACAGATAAGTAGAGTTTGTGTGATACAGTATGACCGATGATGGGCAGCGGTTTGGCGTTTAGTTGAGTCATACATTGGTCATCTTTGTTTTTTTATTATCAACTAGGCAACTGTGGAAAGTGCTGGAAGGAGTGAGTGTGTGAACATGTGTTCCAGTTTGCATAGAGTAGAAGGCTTTCCTCAGACTGACATGAGGGGACCATTAGCAAGCCTCATTAGGCTGAATGCCAGCCTGCAGAAACAGACTATGGAGAGGTCCAAGGTCCAGGTCAGCAGTCTGCACTAATAGCCTGGGGTATAGTGAGATGGCAATAAAGATGACTGCTGCTCCAAACTATTTTGCATCAGAGGATGGAAGAGAGTTTGGAGACTGTAACCAGGTTTGGAGATGAGGATCGGAGTAGAACAATTACGTTTTTTTTTTTTTTTGTTTGTTTGTTTTTTAAACATGGGGAACGGGAAAGTGAATTGATGTGGTTTTCTGCCTGCCGCCTCCTGTATGTTTATGGGTTGATGGGTTTCAAGTGTTCTCAAAAATTAACCATAAGGGGAAACGGGCAGTGCCATGAAGGATACGTATTATTACGTGTTGGATTTTGAACCCTGTTCATCTTTCTGTACTACTAGCACTACTGTTTAGGCTTAGTAAATGACAGTAAGTGATTAAAAGAGTGCAACCTGTGGAAAATGGTTAAACTGCTGAATTGCTACCCAGCTCTTCCACAAGATTGAAAATATGGTGGCAGTTGAGGGTAGCCAGTAGATCCTGTTCTGTAAAGTGTAAAGTTCTTGGAATTTAGTCTGTTCTGTTACTACAATGTCAATCAGCACGTGCCTGCTCGCAATGGGCGGATTGCATGCTTCCTTTAACATAACCACTGCTGTGATTAAAAAAGCGGAACAGCTGATAGTGACTAAAGATAGCACACAGATTGACTTCTGTGGCACAGTTGCACAATATAGTGATGTAACACTGATGAATCTATTAGATATAAATATAGTCCTTTCTAGTGTTTGACCCATGCAGAGAAATAGGGATAGGTCTTTTTTTCCCCTTCAAGCAGCAATTTACTGATCAACTGTGTAAAAGTCTAATATACACATAGTATTGGCTCGTTTGATAGTTGGTGTCTAGAAGGATAAGTAAAAACTTTATGAATGTATATGTTGTTTCTAGTAAACACATAATGCCTAAACAGCAGGTCAGATCACTGCCAATTAAACAGAAACTCGCCTTGCATTAGCTTTCTGCTTTAAGCCGAGTGTTTCCTACAATTAGAGCAGTGGCCTTCAAACTGTAGGACAAGGAGCCACTGCAGGTGGAGGCCAGACAATTAGGTGAAAAATACAGAGTTAACTTAAAGTAATTTAATGTATGTTTAATAGAAATAAGCAAGAGATGGCTGATACTGCTGACAGTTTCTTTTTTGGATGATAACAATTGATAAACTTGGTGTGAGGTTGTGAGACTTGCCACAATTTACTCCCTGAAGGCCTGACATCAACCCCAGCTATATATCAAGTGTGAGGTAAATTGGGTTAACTGAAAATAAAAATAAAGAATCCCTTTATTCATTAGTGCAGTGTAAATTTTTGGGACAGTGCATTTCTGGGATCCTTCACTTATCATGAGTTTAGGTCTGACCTAATTGTTTATTTAAGCTGGGAAACAGATGGTTAAAGTTGGTATTGATCAGCGCTCATCACAACTAACATCAAATCAAATGAATTCCCACGACCACACAGATGGAAGTTATAACAAGCGTTTCTGCAGTGTGCAGAGTTGGCGAATGCAACTGCATCGGTTCTCCAGGAAATCCAACCAGCCTCCATAGGGAGGAAATGAAATACGTGCATGCTGGGATGTGTGTGTTTAAAAACAACTCCTAGATGACTGGTTTGACCTGTGATTACAGTGGACGCTGTACTTTTGTGAGCCCTTATCCCCAACTGTACAATTTGCATCTTTGTTTGAAGCCTGTTTTGGAATTTCAGTAAGCCACAAAACCTTACATATTATTTTTGTAACTATCCTAATGGATGTCATTCATTAGACTGTGTGTCAATTAAGATTTGCCCTTCATTACAGGCCTGATGATTTTTGCAGTCTTGTTAGTTTGTGTGTGATGGTCCTTGAACTGGAATTACCACAAGCATTTTGAGATACTCCATTAAATTAGCGCTTTCATTTTTTTCTCTCCCAGAGGCTTTTAGCTGAATATAATGAGCTAAGCAATTTTTTTTTGTGTGTGTGTGTCACTGAAAAGGACTATACCTTTTTATTTAATTATTTTTAATTTGTTGCTTTATTTATTAATTGGTTAATCAGTAATGCGGTTTGGTTTTCAAGTAAAAGCTAGTCTGTAGGGTGCGAGGTAAAAAACAAACTTAAATTCTGGCTTTTCAGTGATTTAACAAGTTCAGTTGTGGTGAATCTAAGAGGCACTGTAAGTCCTGTAAAATCAAATACTCATGTTAATATTTAGATATATTGCAATTGTATGTTATTATTGTAGATAATGGTGTCTAAATATGCAAAATTCATAGATGGGTATTTACTACTTGGGTCAAAAATTTGTAATATTTTCCTGATTGGTCTCTCATTAAGCTCGTCTTTCATAGAAGCACTCTTTTCTCTACAGGTGTTGCATTTCTGTTATTTTTATTTGACCTCACTGTGTACGCTATTCCTCATGCGCAAATTATCATCTTCTATTTTAGGTTACCTGTACAGCTTTCAGGCTGTGTCATCTGCACTTCACTGGTGTTGACGAGATACCGGGATCAACAGTGAGTATCCAACTTGCTCAGCTGGATTTTCAGGGTCTGTTGGGTTACATTCATCATAGATGTTGATGCAGATGGTATCAGTGTTAATGCTCTTTTGTGTTGCTTTTTATCACCAAAAATAACTCAGAACTTCTCAAAGTAAATGTTTCTGTGCTTGATCTTCTTATAAGAAGAGCTGGTTTTATTAGATATTAGATATGTGGCTACCATAAAGATTCTAGCAACAGGCTGTCAAAGTACCAGAGTGTTTATATGTATTACAATTGTAATAATATAAAAACTAGCATCCTTAGAAACAATCAAACTCTTCCGTGTGCCCTTCACTTCTAATTGGCTTTCAGATGTAGTCTTCCTCCTGCCACCTACTTGAAATATGGAGTTAAACTTTATGGACACTGGACAGATGGTAGGTCTAGCAACTCTAAAGTAATTCAGTTGAGTAAAAAATGCCAGAAAATAATATCTTGGTTGTCTAAGGTATTCATAATATTACTAAAAAAATGCATAATAAATAAATAGAATAGAATAGATTGTAAAAATAAGGCGTAAACTGCTCTGAAATAAGAACTAGCGAGTAGGCGGCCCTTATCTATGAGTTTGAAACAGCATGTTTTGTTCCAGTAAATGCTTTGCTTCCCTCTCTGTGTATTTCTATCCCTCTTTCGCTTCTTTTTCTTTCTCTCTCACCTCCTCCCCCAGCCAGCATAGCTGCTCTCCTCTACTCCCACACACACACAGACACTACTACAGTCACACAAGAATGAGGGGGAGAAAAGAATGAGATATGGTGAAAGGAAAAACACCAGGGAAGAGAAATGGAAATTATAATAAAGAGCGAAGGAAATTAATATAATGGGATAGAGAGAGATAAAACAGAAAACGGAAAAAAAATGATGTGCATAAGAATTTTAATGAAAATCTATTTGGACTCAAAAGTAACACAGGTGGTTGGTAAAGTCTGTTTATCTTGTAATTTAGAATCCTGGAAGTCCACGAGCCTTAAAAAAGAAGCGAATACAAATTTGCATGAAATATTTGGGAAAATTCTCATAAGATAGATTTGCATGAGTGTTCTCTTGCAGAACAAATATAAAGAAAAGCTGAGTGTATAGGACTCCTAATAATAAACCACTAAATTGCAAATGGCGTTTTCAGGCTTACACTATGGTTAGTTTCTTTGACTTCTTCTAAAATGTGGTCTGAGCTTAATTTCCGTCTTAATTATAGACTAACACAATCTGGAAAAACTAATAACATGCAAATACGATCTTGAGTTTTAGTGAACACACAGAGTTATCATTTAAAGTTCAGGAAAATCAAAGTGAACCTCTGTGCTAACAGCTTCACCAAAACCAAAACCTCCTAGGAGTGGGTGTTTCAATTGAGAGGTTCAGAAGTGTGAATTGTAGAGGGAGCCCCTCACTATAAGTAAGTTATACAAAGTGTGATTACTAACAAGGTCTGGTTTCCTCAAGAATGAGTGATTGCTGTGAACCATGCCCCGATCAAAACAACCTTTACAGGACCTTTTAGTAGAAGCATTTTACTCGAAAAGCATACAAAACCCTTGGATGTTTATCATTCCACAAGATCAATTATATTCAAATGGAGGAAACGTTGGACTGTTGCTGCTCTTTCTGGGAGTAGGCGTCTTACAATGATCACACCAAAAGCACAATGTGCAATATTGAAAGAGGTGAAAAAGAACCCATGAGTAACAGCAAAACACCTGCAGAAATCTATACAACTTGCTATAATCTTTGCTCACATCCTCACTATAAGAAAAACACTGAATAAGAATGGTGTTAATGAAACACCACCATAAAGGAAACCACCACACTCCAAAAAATGCCTTGTGGCATGTTTAAAGTAAAAAAAAATAAACAAAGAGAAAATCTCCTCGGTGGAGTAATGAGTTAAACACATATACATAAATCTGCATTTTGGAGGGAGAAAACGCACTAATTCAAAGTACGGTGGAGGCAGCATCACTGTCTGGGCCTGGACATAAAGTTATCAAAAAGAATTTCAAAAGGTGAAAAGTTATCAATAAATTCTGGGGAATGATTAGGAGACATTTCATAAAGCAATAAGGAAAAACGTCCATAGTACATAAATAAACAACTAAATGGTTAAGAGAAGAATGGCGTCGAATGGACAACTTGAGTCCTGTGGTCTGATTGATATCCCAGCCAAGCAAGATGCCGACTTGAAGAGGGGTTATCAATACAAAAGGTTTTGTGTGAAGAATAGTCCAGAAATTTTCCTCTTTATTGCACAAATCTCATCAGTGGTTACAGGAAGTATATAATGAAGGTGGCTGGTGCCGAAGAATGTACATCTATTTTCTGCTTAGTCAGTTTAGGCTGAAGAAGTTAGTTGAAGAAGTTGCACTTGAGTGTGTCTAGTGATAAGAGGAAATCAGTACCATGCAGTGACTGTCTGTTTAGATGGCAATGAGTCACAGTAACTGAAGCTAATTGCCATAAATAGTAATATGTCCCTAAAGAGGGAGGGGAGTTTTACTTTTTGCAGCAGCCTAAATGCTTTTAAGGACAAACTCATAAACTGTCCAAAGGTTCAATATCAATATTAACCTTGTTAACTAATAATGGCTCCAGATTTATAATTTGTCAGACAAATACACATTTTTGTAGTTTTTCCTCAGATGAACCTCTGTGCTAAGAGCTCTTAAACAGTCAAGGCAAATTAAAAAACAAACAAACAAAAAAACCCTTGAGCTACAATTTGAAAGTCTGCACTTCACTCACATTTTCATTGTAACCAAACAGAATTGATGTATTAGCCCTACATGGCCAAGCATCCATGTCTACTATAGTAGCTACATCTATAGTCACTCCTATACAGTGGTTTGCTAAGTTTGCAGAATCTATTTAAACACTTCTCGCCTGAATGGATATCAACTCTTTTTGAAAAAGCACTTCCTTCACTTCCTGTTTGCCCAGGTTTTCCAGGTTTTGTTCCGCTGCAGGCAAATGCCCCATAGTGTTGACACATGTCAGTGGTTGTTTTACAACCTTGAACATCTTTGCATGAAGTTGAACTGATTTGATGGCATACATCTTTCTGGATGGTTGTAGCAGCACCGCCTGTGCTTGCAGTGTTTGTATGTATGATTGGAGGATGGAGGCAGCCATGGATGGATGGAAAGAAGAGAGAGTGAAAGCATAGTTGACTTGATGGACTGACTTACTCACTTACTTTAAGCATCCATTTCTTTCCCACTTTCAGTCTCAGCATCTCATCTCCTCCCACATACTCTCACATTGAGTGAGGAATCAGTCCTTCTCACTTCTATTATCTCTCCATATCTATCTCTGTCGCTCTCTCTGCCACTTCATTCTGGCCATTCTGTACCAATCGAATACGCCTGCTGTGGGCACGAATGAGTCCCACAGCAATCATACCACGTCCTCATTAGGTCTATTCTAGTGGCCCGCCTTATCCTGCTTCATCCCTTTTCTCCTATAATTGGGCAAAAACCTCTGCCTACCTGTCAGCAGCAGCCCCAGTACAAATGCTGCAATTTATTCTTTACTGCCACAGGGCATCTTAGAAGTGTGTAGGTTTTGACAATGGTTTCAGAGTAACCATGGGACATTGCTGTCCAGTGTCAATTATAGCAAATAGCTGAATCCTGGGGAATCAGTTGTTACACAGTCCACCACCACCTTTGCTACCTTACGTTAATGACTGTGCCACTGACAGAAAGAGGCAGCTTTTAAAAGTGAACACTCTCTGGTCACGTTATTAGTTACACTGGTTCTGCTGCTTGTTAAAGGAACTATCTAATCACATGGCAGAAACTTTAGGTGTATAGACACGGCCAAGAGGATCTGCTGAGGTTTAAGCCAAATGTCAAAATAGGAAAGAATGGTTTCTGCTGATACCAAGTACAGATCAATACCATTGCTAAATTAATCATTTTTATTCCTCACTGAGGTATTTTGAGTAAGGATTGCACCAACAGCTGATTGGTGCATCCCTAATTTGTACTGATCAGCTGCCTTTGAACTAGCATCATTCAGCGATAGCTCACAATGTATATGCAGATGAAGAGATGTAGAAAAGGTTAAAAGGTGAAGTTCAGTAACTTGCATAAAAAGTAACATGGCAGCCACTGACAGAGCGGTTGTGGCTAATTACAAGGACACGACCGGTATGTTGGCCAAGCTTTGTGGTGAATTACAGTTTAACTGAGTGTGCGTTTAGCCATTTTTCTTATGGTAAAAGCATGTTTTGTGTTGGTGAAATAAAATTTAAAAAGGGCCTCCAGTAACTTGCGTATAATGATATGTCTGTGATAACATGGACTTATATTTTGGTCATTTAATGGCTGTTTGCAAAGAGTGCTTTAATGTTTTAAGAGTTTTCATGTAAAGACTCAACTGAAAATGCATCAGAATAATGGCTGTTATGTCTCATTAAAAGAAGGGAAAGGAGCTATGTTTGTGCTAATGTACGTGTCTTTGCAAACTGCTCATAAGTGAAGAAAAGTACAATGAAAGAATAGAAGTAGCCCATAAGACTTGATGTAAACAACATAAAAGCACAGATCTATCGAATCTCAGCAATTTGGACTGCGGGTGGTGGTGTAATGATGCAGTGGATATTTTTTGGCACAGTTTGAACCATTTAAACACCATAGCCCCTCTGAGTTTTGTTGGAGAGTGTACGTGTGCGTAACATCTTCTAATGGCTGCTACAGCATGACACCATGCCTGGTCACAAATCTCAAGTAAGCTCAGGCTGGTTTCTGGAACATGACAGTGAGTTCACTTACATTAAGTGACTTCCACGTTCACCAGATCTCCATCTTTTTTTCAATGCAGTAGGAGAATTGCATCATTAAGGTGATACCTGTGTCTACAGCACATCCCAAAGGTGCTCTATTGCAGCGGTCTCCAACCCCCAGGCCACAGACTGGTACTGGTCCATGAAGTATCAGGCCGCGAGAGTTGAACCTCGGTTGTGAAATT